GGCGTCCCCGAAGTCAGTTAACGGAGTGTGACAACATTAATGATGTTTGTTAGATTTAACGGAAGTTAGTTTTCCATTCAAACCTTAATTAAGTGCAATTGAAGTTTGAATCCAACATTACAAATTTTGTGTCAGTTTGGGTCCGTATGTCATATTTATGCCCTTTTAATTCACCTTCCTAAATGGCTTTGTATCAACAGATCATCGTTAAGGCAAAGTGTTTGATAATTTACACATACGGTCCAAAACAGAAGCCCAATCATAAGTTTGCATTTTCTGTTTTTATTTTTATTTTTATCTTTCATTCATAGTAAACTCATCAGTTATAGTGAAAAAAAAATTTTAAAAAAAAAACATAGAAAAGGAAAGCCATTTGTTCTTCTTACATCTAGAAACTCCAATAATCAGATTGAGCCAACATAAATGGATATCACGTCCCAATTCCTAAATAATAAATATGTAACCCTGGCTGGATGTTGGGGTAGTTAATGCTAATCTATCCTTCCTAGGACCTACTCTAGTTCTCAATAACACACAAGTACAATGTAGAATGTAAGAAAACATATGGGACCAATAATCAGCTTATCAGATGGATGATCATGGCCTAAATCAAATTAACCTGCAGGCAAGGAAATGTTGATGTCGGTGGCAGAGTTCCTTTGTTCCTGCATGGGGACCCAACTATCTCTCCGGAAAGGACTGGCAGTGGAAGAGGCGAGGTTTGGTTTCAGGATGTTATTTTGTTGTGGATGTCCATCAATTCCATCCTCTTTGTCTGCATTTGAAGCAGGTGCACTTGCAGCAGCCATTGTAGAGTTCGGTGCAACAGTAGCCGGTAAGGATTCATTCTTCAGCTTCTTGGGTTTTTGGGCTTGATGATTACCAGGTAAAAAACTGCCTACAACAACCTGACATTCCCCAGAAAAGAAAAGAAATATAAGGTTTTGCAATGCCATATTGCCATAAAACTTGGGTCATAATTGGACATGAAATGCACCAAAAAGAGGCACCCCAGGAGCACCATAAGAAGCAATGTTAAGTGAAAAAAATGATCCTTTTAATGCTACTAGAATAAAAATAACTTAACAGTGAATGGCTGACCTGCACAGGACCAGCAGCAACAAGGAGCCCAGCTACACCTCCCCCTACAACACGACCATCAGGACTTGCCAATGAAACACTCATTCCCCCAGATCTGCTTCTAGTTCCTTGAGTTTCTGTAGGCATGAAGGATCCAGACAAGGAAAGTATCTCAAAGCGACCCTGTAAAGGAACATTACATGACACCAAACAGTTATTCAAAACTATTCATGAAGGATCAAGAGAAGTATATTGTCCAACTGTTTTGGCAACTTTTCTTCAATTTCCTAGCATGTAGCACCCTTTTCATAAGCAGTGAGAGAATGTTACCATGCATGAATTCAAATCTTATTATGGACTCATATCCTTATACGATTATGATTTGACAATGAATAGATGGAAAATTTAATGTACACATGTTTTCCACGTTAACCAATTGGTACCAACTTTAACTGTCATATGCTCATGTGAGAAAGGCCGTTTCACATCCATAAACAAAGCTGTACACAGATGCAACAAAGTTCAAGCAACTATAACCTGAGGTGAAACAATGTCACAAGACTAGAATTCAAACTGAACTTTATGATAAAGATTACAGGATGCTCCATATATTTCAAAATGTGATGGTATAGTCTGACCTCATATGTTAGAGTTCCCCCAGAAGAATCTGGCTGACGAAGGGTAACATTTGATATTACTCCATTGGCAGATAGAATGCAAATAGCCCGTGGTCCTTGTTGTGAAAATGATATAACCTTCATTGTTACATCCTTAAACCATAGGAAAACATAGCTTATGTAAGACACAGAAAATAAAGAACGGACCATGAATGGGAATATATTGTATTTTGACCAGCAGTACTAGTCTAAAAAATACCAAGCTGTTGCCATTTTTACATCTTAAATGTAAGGGGAAAAGAATACTAACACAACATACCCCATTGACCTTGAACTGATTCTCAAAACAACGTAAAGTTGGATTCAACAATTGCTATCTAAGTTTAACCTCATATATTTCCCCAATCTGTGCAACTATTCCAAATGATGGTAACATAGTTTAACATTTTGTTAAGGTGTGAGTTTTATGTGTCCAGGACTAATGATTAAAGATATGAACAAGGACAAGAGCCACCACAATTTGGAAGATAATTAACACCCATAGAGACAACAAACCCGGAATCATTATGAATAAGATGTCAATTAGGTTAAATTTTCTCCCCTTTCCCTTATTAAACCTACCTCGCCCGCATTGACTGTGATGACATGGGGTGTGAAATTTGTACCAACAGAATTAGCAGCCCAGTCTCCTACAAAATAATAGAGTAATATCAGTAAAGTTGAAATTTGCCATTAAAAAGTAAATAATAATTTGCCAAGACTCTTTAATAGCTATTTTTCAAACAACAGACGTTGGAATTTGACAATCAAGCAGGTAACAAAAGAGTTTAAACATAAAAGTCACAGGGTAACCATTCAACAAGTCTTTCATTGCTGCAAGAAAATAGACAGTTTCCCAATGGAATCAGGAACTTTTGTGAGAGTCAGTAACAGCAACATATTTTCTTTGTCTCCTCTATCCAATGTAGCTAAAAGGCATTACCAATCAAGCAATTTTGCTACTTTAAACAGGTTCATCTCATTTCTATTATTGGGAGCATCTTGCAATATTATAATATATGCTTGACAAAAAAGGCAACCAGTAACACATCTTAGCCACAAGAAGAATATTCTTCAACCTCACAGGTCACACCAACCCCACAAAAGCCCATCTTTTTCATTCACAGAATGAGCATTATACTTCAAAAATCTATTGAAGAGAATCTCATGACAAGGACCCACAAAAACTTTAATACCTACTGCTTATGAGAGATATGACATAATGAATCTCTCATAGGAAAATTCACATATTTCCAAATCATCAATCCGCAGGTCCAAAACCCTAATCTAAAACTAAATGACCTGATTTGAGCAGTCCCACAATCTGGCACCGGTACAAGACATTAAACACTTATGAAACAAAAAACCAAGAAATCACTATTCATATCAAATTTATAAGTGGTGAATCACATACTTCATACCCTTTCTGTAAATTCATGGAGCCAAATCAAACCAAAACAGCAAACAACAAATTGACTTAAAGAAACAGCTTCAAAACAGGCCTACAGGCCTATTACCTATATTCCCCATTTCCAGTCCCTTGTTCTGCTTACTCTGGTAACCACTGGCCCGCCCTCTACCCCTCTTTCCTCCCGAGTATTCACCAGAGGGTGGGACAGAAGACGAAATTGGCATCGGTGACAAAGCCCTTGCAACCGTTCCATCTGGTCCATATTTCCTAGGCCTACCTCTCTTCTTCTTTTCCGTGGACCCTCCAGTCAATGGTAAACTAATAGGAGAGACAGTCATAGCAGGTGATGCACCAATCTGGCTGGCATTTTCTGTTCTTGGTGCTACATGATAAGCTGACGGAGCTTCAGCTCCTATCACCGTGACACCTGAATTCAAGCCTTCCCTTGTCTCCATGCACATATATATTATATTAAAAATCCGTAGAGACCAACGCTTGCTATTCTAACACTTACAGCAGCAATCTACAAAACATACATCCATGAATCAAAATCAAACACAGTAGCCTCATTTAGTAGCTTACAACAAAAACACAAGACAGACGAGCTTCAGACGGCATAAATAAGAAAATCCATATTTCTAAAAAAGGTAGATTTTTTTCATAGAAATTTTACTCAAACTACAGTACTCAAGTTAAAGATTTAACACGACCTCAAATATCATAAAAAATCAGAATAAACACATCTTCAACATGTCATTTCCATGGATGAATTAAAGACGAAAACTTGAAAACGTAAAGATCGCCAAAAAATGAAAATGAAAACGGAAACTGAATATTTTGTTTTACTCTCAAAATCATAGTACCCTGCACAAATCATGACTCCATAACTAAACTAGACTCCTTATTAATCCATCTCCTTAATCAAAATGCATAATTTTCAAAGTAAATCAACTCTAAACTAAGAAATACAGAGATCATGACCTGATACAGCAAGTGGATCGCAGAAAGTTCTTCTCAGCACAGTTCTGCTAAGGCTTCTTAACGTTTCCAATACTTTAAAGCGGCACTTCAGAAGTTCTTAGTAACCAAACAGAAATTTTGAAAGAAAAAAGATATATATGTATAAGAACAAGGAGAAAAAAAAATACAAAAAAGAAAACTGTTTGTTTGCTGAGAAAACCTGTTTCTCAAGAAAAACAAACACTGGTTTCGGAAAATCACTGTCGGAATTTTTCCTTGTCTGAACAGAGACAACTACAAAGTATGAGAAAAAAAATGAAAATAATGATAAAAGGTAAGAAATTGGGAAAATGCAAAAAATAAAACAGTAAAATAATGATAAAATAATTATTATTAATTGCTAAACCCCATATATACAATTTGGTTAAGAGGAAATTTCACGTCCGTGAGAAAATTGAATTTGAAAAAATCAATTCAATGGACAAAACAGTAATTTGGTCAAAAAAAGGAAAAAAAGTAAATAACTTTTTTTTTAATAAAATAAAAATAAATCATTGTGATTTTCTCAATTAAAGCTGCACAGGCGGGACCGACCTTTTTATCACCGCTGACCTGCTTTTTGTCCTTTTCGAAAATATAGAACAGAGATCACGCCATTTTAAATTGTTGAAATGACAATATAGCCCATTTTAAATTTTTGAAATGACGATTTTGCCCCTTCTGATTGTTGGAGTAGAATAGAGATCTCTCAAGAGGGTTACTTTTTCTTTTTCACTTTTTCTCATTTGTTTAGTACGTAATCCAAAGATATCGTTATATTAAATATATTTTTTATTATAAATTTATATTAAAAAAATAAAAATTAATTTTTAATTTATTTATTATTTAATTAAATTTATTCGAATATTAAAATTTATATAATTTTTATATTCATTTATTATAAAAGGATATTCTTAAAAGTTAAAAAAATCCTTTTGTTTTTTTTTTCCTTTGAAGTAATCATATGAATCTGATCGTCAAATCTTATTGGATACTCCGGGCACGCGGCCATGATGCCGTCATGAAGTTCCCGTCACCGGAAAGTCTCGCACGTGTCAAGCATTCGTACCCGTTAAAAGTTGAGAGCAGTTTGACCGTGTGCTCAGAAATGAATTATCCATGTCCCATTATGCATCATTTTGGGCTATAAATGATATATTTATATTATTTTACCGTTTGAAACAAAAAATTTTGAATAAAGAATGTTTTTAATATTAAGAATTTATTTTTATTTAAAGTATATATTTTATAATTTAATATAATTTAAATTATAAAATAATTTTTTAAATGATTTGGTCTCACGTCATTTGGAATAATTTTCTACTTTCTTAAAATCACCGTAATTTAAAAAAAAAAAGAAAAAGAAAAAGAAAAAGAAACCCTCACCGCAACTAACTCAAGACTTGTATTTAAAATATCTAATTAGGAGTCTCAGCCAGCCTCTCATTTATTCAAACATAATGGGCATCATTATACCTTTATTTTTCTTTTTCATGAACAGAATCATTAGATCTTATACATTATTTTACTTTAATTTGAAATTAAAAAAAAATCACTAAA